GCAAATGACTTTTTGGTGAAAGAACTTGTCTGCCTGAAGCTGGGCATACAGCTTGTCGGTTGGTGTTGACAGTACATCAGCGTACCTGTCAGCCTTTCGCCTTGCCTCGAGCGGCAGCGCCCGCACTGAAGCAGGGACTCGCCTGCCCACCCCCGCAGGCCTTGCGGCTTCATCCTTCATGGTGGATAAATTTATGATAATGGTTACCGCTTACTGAGGGCTTACTCTGTGCGAGGCACTGAGCTGCTTATTTCATATTACCCCACTTAATCTGACCTGCAGGGTAAATATTATTACTTCCGTTTTATGGTGAGGAAACCGAGGTACAGAGAGGTCACGTCAAGCTCCCGAGGCCGTAAAGATGGGAGGCGGTGAGGCGGGCTGGGACCGGCTCGGGCCCTGCAGAGCACACACTCCCGACCGCTCGCGCCTCGCCCACAGGCCCTCCTGTGTTCTAGGCGGTTTTAGGTGCTATTTTGGGTCACGATACAGTTTTGTTATTTTGCTCTTCTGTTTTCAAAAATTAAGTATATTTCATGTGACTAATTCCTGTGTGGTGAGTATGGCGGTGGATTCTCCAATTCTACCGTACGTATTAAAAGTCTATAAAACAAGGGTTTATAATGGTTGTATTTTTCTGGAAAGTTGCTCATATAGCAGTAGAAGCTATGCGTAAACTCAGAGGCTGTCGTCAGTGGAGTGTGATTTTAAAGCACATAATCAGTGCTTGACTCATCCACCCCACCTGCCACTTTAAGTGAAAGTTTGAAAAATGCCAGAATTTTGATATTTTGCAGCAATAATAAAAGCCTCTCCCGACTATCATAATCCAAGCCCAAATGTATCTTGTTTTAAATTCTTAGGCTCTTAAAAGTAAAACTATGACTTTGAAGATTAGTGTTCCCGGGCTTCCCTGGTGGCGCAGTGGTTGAGAGTCCGCCTGCCGATGCAGGGGACGTGGGTTCGTGCCCCGGTCCGGGAAGATCCCACGTGCCGCGGAGCGGCTGGGCCCGTGAGCCATGGCCGCTGAGCCTGCGTGTCCGGAGCCTGTGGTCCGCAAAGGGAGAGGCCACAACAGTGAGAGGCCCACGTACCGCAAAAAAAAAAAAAAAAAGCAAGATTAGTGTTTGCAATCCTGCTTGGTTCTGTGCCACAGAAACATGAAGGATTTTGACAGATGACCCCTTATTGTCTTCATCCACGTTGGGACTTGCCAGTTTGGCAAGACATTGTGCCTGTTAGTCTCCATCCTAAGTTCTGTGCCCTAAACAGTTTTGTGTTAGAGACAACATGATGCCAGATACATAGGAATTACTTAATAATCACTATGAGTCGGTTTAAATAGAATTTTAAATGTCTCAACTAAGTAAGTAGTTAATAAAGACAACACAATTTTTCCTGGGAAGTCGTTTGTCATTGTATTGATTCATTTTAGTCATTTAGCATTTTAATTTAAAAGCATTTTTTATAGCTACTACCTTTTTTCTTTAATTAAACTTATTTTGAGATAACTGTAGATTCAAATGCAGTTGTAAGAAATAACAGAGAGATCCCAGGGACGCCTTACTCAGTTTTTCCCACTGATAACATCTTACAAAACTGAGTGCAGTCTGACACCCACGATGCTGACCTTGATACAGTCAAGATACAACATCTCCATCATCACAAGGATCCCTCTTGTTGCCCTTGTATAACTCACAGTCCATTCTCTACCTTCCACCCCACCCCGTCCTGAACCCCTGAACACCACTAATCTGTTCTCCGTTTTTATAGTTTTATCATTTTAAGAATGTTATATAAATGGAATCATGCAGCATGTAAGTTTTTGTTTTTTTTTAGTTTTAAAATTTGTATTTATTTTTGGCTGTGTTGGGTCTTCGTTGCTGCACGCGGGCTTTCTCTAGTTGTGGCGAGCAGGCTTCTCATTGTGGTGGCTTCTCTTGTTGCGGAGCATGGGCTTTAGGCGCGCGGGCTTCAGTAGTTGCGGCACACGGGCTCAGTAATTGTGGCTCACAGGCTCTAGAGCGCAGGCTCAGTAGTTATGACGTGTGGGTTTAGTTGCTCTCCAGCATGTTGGATCTTCCCGGACCAGGGCTCGAACCCATGTCCCCTGCATTGGCAGGCAGATTCTTAACCACTGCGCCACCAGGGAAGCCCGCAGCATGTAAGTTTTGAGACTGGCTTTTTTCACTCAGCATAACTCTCTCAAGGTCCGTCCAGGTTGTTGTGTGAATCAACAGTTCATTCCTTTTTTATTGCCAAGTAGTATTCCATGATACAGATGTAGCGTAGTTTATTTAACTACTCACTCCTTGAAGGGCATCTGGGTTGTGTCCAGTTTTTGTCTCCTTTGAATACAGCTTCTGTAAACATACCTATACAGGTTTTTGTGTGAACATGTCTTCTCTTCTCTGGGATCAATGCCCAGGAGTACAATTGCTGGGTTTTATGGCAGTTGCATGTTTAGCTTTTAAAGAAACTGCCAAATGGTTTTCCAGAGCAGCTGTACCATTTTACATTCCCACCAGCCGTGAATGAGGGATCCAGTTTCTCTGCACCCTTGCCAGCATTTGGTGTGGTCGCTGTTTTTTGTTTTAAACATTCTGATAGGTGTGGAGTGTTATTTCATGGTGGTTCTAATTTCCATTTCCTTAATAGGTAATGATTTTGAACATCTTTTCACGTGCTCGTTGGCCTTCTGTATTTCATCTTTGGTGAAATGTCTGTTCTTTTGTCTGTTTTCTAACTTGTTTGCTTTTTTTGCTGTTGACTTTTGAGAGTTTTTACATTCTAGGTACTAGTCCTTCACCAGGTCTGTGGCTTGAACATATGTCCTCTCACTCTCTAGGTTGTCTTGCATGCTCTCAACAGGGTTTCTTGCCCAGCGACAGTTTTTAATTCTGATGAAGTCCAGTTTATCAGTTTTTCCTTTAATTGATCGTGCTTTCGGTGTCAAGTCAGAACTCTTTGCCTGGCCCTAAATCCCAAGGATTTTCTTCTAGCTTTTTTTCTAGAAGTTTTATAGTTTTCTGTTTTACATTTAAGTCTGTGAACCATTTTGAGTTAATTGTTGTACAAGATGTGAGACTTAGATCAAGGTTCATTTTTCCCTGTGGATGTCCAGTTGCTCCAGTGCCTTATGTTGACAGGCTGTGTTTCCTCCACTGGATTGCTTGTGCACCTTCATCAAAAATCAGTTGGGCATATTTGTGAGGATCTGTTTCTGGCTTCTCTGTTCTGTTCCATTGATCTGTGTGTCCATCCTGCCAGTACCACCCTGTCTCGATGACTGTAGCTATCTGGGAAGTCCTGAAATTGGGTAGCCTGATTCTTCCCTCTAATTTCTTCTTTTTCAAAATGTTTTAGCTATGCTAGTTCCTTTGCCTTTCTATATAAGTTTTAGGATAATCCTGTCCATGTCTACAGAGAATATGGGATTTTCGTAGGAATTGTATTAAGCCCATCTATCAGTTTGGGGAGAACTGACATCTCTACTGTGTTGAATCTTGGAATTGATGAACAGGGTATGGCTCTTTTTAGATCTCCTTTGATTTATTTCATCCACATTGTGTAGTTTTCAGTATACAAGTTCTGTACATATTTGGTTAGATTTACACCTAGTATTTCTTTCTTTTGAGCAATTATAAATGGCATTGTATTTTTAATTTTGGTGTCTGTGTGTTCATTGCCAGTAAGTAGAAACACAGTTGATTTTCGTATGTTTATCTTGTGTCCCGCAACCTTGCAGAGCTCACTTACTAGTTCTATGAGCTTGGCCTTTTATTTGTAGTCCTGTGTACTTAACACTGTCTATGTGCCAGGCATTATGTTAAGGCTTTCCGTGTGTTTGCCAAAGGCCAGGACGTGGTGGGGCTAGGATCTTGACTCATAAATTGCTTATTCACTTCATCTGTTCATTTGGCAAATATTTAAGGAGCACTTATATGGACCAGATGCAGGGTTCCTGCCCTCCTGGGGCCCACGGTCTGAAACTGGAATTAGAAGTGACACAAGCAGTTATCTAACTTAATAAAAGAAGTTTAAAAATAAAACAAGACGTTGATTAATTATAACCTAATGCATCTGACTCATAGTGTCAGTGGGTAAAGCAGGGACCTTTAGTCAGCCTGTGTGGAGTGGGGGCACCCGGGGGGGACTTGCTAAACATTGTTCATTTCCCCAGGAAAGGTTTCCCAACCCAAACTGCTTGTTGATTCTTACATCAGTTTTTGCAATTCAGAGACGTCTGTGGTAAAACCTCATGTGAAGGGAATTAAATATTGCTTGTCAAAGAGCCCAAGAACTCCTGGCCAAAACTGCATGAAGCTCCCTGGTCACCTCCATCGTCACCTCCTTCACCTGCTGTGCATGAGCCCCTCCCCCGCCCACCCTGCACCCTCGATGCGCCCGTCACCTCCGCACCGGCCAGCCCAGGCCAGCCCTCCTCGACCTCACCTGCTGCCCCCGCGCTGCTGATGGCCGCGCCCTCCTTCCGCACACCGCACCTCCCTGTCTCCACCTCGCGGCCCTCCTCTCCTCGGCCGGCGGCTGCCCTCCTCTGGCCTGGCAGGCCGGGTTGCAGAGTCGTTTGAGCTGGGAGGGTGGTGCATCAAGGAGTGAGATGCAGGGCCAGGTCCCCTTCCTGCCAGACGGTTTGGGAAGATCATCGGTGGCCCTGCCTGAGCTTTTGTAACAACAGCGGCAGTAAGTTTCTGGTCAGTTGGGAAATGAAAATCTTACCCTACAGAAATGTGCCCCTTGGGCAGCCTTCCAGGGACAGGCCCTTACAGGGCGCTGCTGACGTGCTCACACAGGGCCTGGCAACCCGGGCCACTGCTGGCCTAGTCTCGCGGTCACGGGCGTGAAGCACTGTCCCCTAGCCCGGCGGGTCCCGAACCGGCACCGTCCCCGCGCCCACGCCCCTTCGCCCTTAGCAGGCCCTGCCCTGCCTTAGGAGTGAGGCTGTTGCTCTCTCTTCATTCTCTTCCCACTGACTGTAGGAGAAACTGCTCGTCTTTGAGTCGGCGTGGAAGGAGGAGGAGGACGTGGTCTCCAAGGAGATAGAGAAGCTCCGTGTGTCCATCCAGACCCTGTGCAGGAGCGCCCTTCCCCTGGGCAAGATCATGGACTACATCCAGGAGGACGTGGACGCCATGCAGAACGAGCTGCAGCTGTGGCACAGCGAGAACCGGCAGCATGCTGAGGCCCTGCGGAAGGAGCAGAGGTGGGGGCCGGGCGGGGAGAGCGGGGGCGGGGCCGGGGCCCGCGTGTGCCCGCAGCCCCGGGGGGCGGCCCCCGAGAGCCCAGGGCCCCTCAACCCTCTCATCCTTACCTCCTCCCTCGAAGGAAACACGTTTCTTTTTCTTTTTCGTTCATAGCATAACGTGCATTTCTGTGTAGCAGTTAGAGAAGACCTGCAGTCAGTGTTCAAAGATGAGATTTAGACATTAAAACAGACAGCGAACTTTGCAGTTTGGATACCACATTTTTCATGTATCTTATCGAAATCCCCAAAGCGTTGTGACTGTAATTTGAAAGTATTTTAATTTTTCACTCTAAAAGAGTACGTTTATGTTTTTACCCTTTTTCTTTGGATGCAGTGGCTAATTCCCCTTTTGTTGTCTTCCACTGTTTTAATTAAGAAGCAAATGTAAAATGTGAAAGATATTTATGAGCCCCTGGCTTTGCTTTCCGTCAGCATCACAGACTGTGCCCTGGAGCCCTTGGAGGCGGAGCTGGCGGAGCTGGAGCAGCTGGTCAGAGACCAGCAGGACAGGATCTGCGCCGTGAAGGCCAATATTCTGAAGAATGAAGAGAAAATTCAGAAACTGGTACATAGTATCCATTTGAGTTCCAGAAGGTGAAAGCTCAAACGCTTCCTTGCAGAGACTAAAGGTCGTCCTCAGTTTGCGTTTCCGTTGGAAGACAATGAACAGTTTACAATGTTATCCAACTAATTTTCAGAGCTTTACAGCTTGAGGCATATTCAGTGTGTGAAAGACCATGTGTTCCTACCTTCCTCTGGCTAGAATACTTGCTAGTTATAAAGAGCTCTTGCAAATGCCTGTGTGGAAAGTTTCTTTACAAGCCTGTGCTTTGTATTTCCGTAGGCTGTTCAGTTCTGTGCCAGATTCTCCAGCAGGTAAGTGGTGCTGGCACAGCCAGGGATGCAGGCATCCGTGATTTCAGACTCTGAGTCTAGTGACAGGACTTCCGTGAGTCAAGCACTGAGTGAAGGATGGCTGTACATTTTGATAGGAGCTTCATAAATACAATGAAGCCTGAAAATGAATGAATTATATTTTTAGCTCATTTCCACTTGAAAAGGGTTAATTTCGGCCCATATCTTTATAAGGTACACGAACTTTAATTTTTAACCTCTTTGTAATTGCATACACGTTATGGAATTTTCTTACTGGTCCCTTTTATCTTTTGCTTATATTTCCAGCCCTTAAAGTTCATACATTTAAAAAGGAGATTTGAGTATGGCCTTCATGGACATGGTCTGGACATGAGATTGTCACAGGCTATATCCTCACTTTCTTCAACATTTTGCCCCTAGGTTTTTGCCACGTGCACACTTGTGTCACTTGCCTAGTTCTCTCCAGAAGAGGGGCTTGCTCTCCAAGGCATCGGCATCATGCCTTTTCCTTCGCACAGGTGTTAAGCACCTGTGCACCTGAGAGACAGGGAGCTTAGGGAAAACTCCAAAAGGAAGACTTAAAAGGATACATGGATTTGCAAACTTTTTTAATGTTAGCATTTTTTTGGAAATTGTTTTTTTAAAGCAAAAGTTTTTTTTTTTTAAACATGGTTTATATTTAGTTTTTCACTGCATATAATATTGTAAATACTAAAGTCTTCAATTTGTGTATAAAGGATTTCACTGTTTGGAGACATACTTACGGGTCTTCAGGTCTGGGTCCTGATACTTTCATTTCTAGACACTGTATTTATTATGTAACCCAAGGAGGGCCATTGTAAGTGTTAGAATTTGCCTGAGAAAGTTTTGTTTCTTTAAAAGACTAGCACAAATGGCACGGTTAAGTTTTTCTTAGTGTAATTTCCAAAACAAATCTGTTACAAAGGTAGTTCTATGATTTTCGAAGCTGAGTAGGTTCAAGGTCAGATTATTAAGATCTGCCGTCGTGAAACATTGGTCGTCTTCTTTCCGTAGTTTACCGGAAAATTCAGTTTGGCGAGGCTCCACTAATGCAGCACTGCTGGCGGGGAGGTGTGTCAGTCCCCAGCCCCCACATGCTCATAGTCTCTTTTCCACTGACTTGGATGGCAGCCACCATCCTAAAGGGACCCTGTTTTGCTTCAAGTGAAGGTGTCTGCCTTTAATGAATGAATTTGTACATAAGACTAGAGATTTTGTGTTGCAGAAAATTACATACATTGTATGTGAGTAAAATTTTGTATGAAGTAGTCTGTCAAATTGTATCATAAAATTTATTTTTCTTTTATACATAAATCATTAAAAATAATCAGATATTTTTTTTCTATCAGTGTATGGGTTGTGCAGTTCAGTTCACACCTGGAAAAAAGCATTTAGAAGCATGTGGATCTTTTTTAGTTTTCAAATGTGTGCAGTTTGTTTTTCTTTGAAGAAAGTTCAGGGAAATTTATATTTTCACTCATTGTGACACCCCTTTTCTGTATAAATTCAAGTCTTATATATGGCAGGTAAGCATTTATCAGAAATTTTAAGACCATTCAGGAAGTTTTAGAAAGTCTCTGCATGTAGTTATTACTGTATCTTATCACAAATGAATTAAATCCTGTTATTTATTATTTTGATAGAATACACACATGGGATTATTAAATGTTTTTCTCTGCTTTGGCTTTTGTAAATTCTCAAGAAGCACTGGAGTCATGCTTAAGAAATTTTAATTTAAGCGACTTCCCTGGCGGTCCAGTGGTTAAGACTCTGCACTTCCACCACAGGGGCACGGGTTCAACCCCTGGTGGAGGGGAACTAAGATGCCGCATGCCGCGTGGTGCGGCCACAGAAAAAAAAAAAAGAAAGAAATTTTAATTTAAAAGTTGAGCTGACATATTTATATTTAAAGGAAATACATAAACCTTTGAAAAAAAATGGCAAGACTAAAATTCAAGCTTTCTACTTTGATATTCATGCTTATTTTTCTTCTCAATAAGCAACTTAAAAAATGATAACTGGAATCTGTGAAGACAGATGATGTTATTTAGTGACGATATAAGTGCAGTTTAGGATTGGGGGGGGGTCTGGAATTCTCAGTCTGTTGACAAGTGCCCCTGAAATATTCCCAGACTTCTTTTCCGAGCTGCCCTGAACTGACCGGGATGTGTCTTCTGCTGACTTGAGCAGCCCTGTGGCACACGTGCGAGAGGAGAGGTGGCTGGACCTTTACCAGCTTGGTGTCACCAGTCACAGGCTTAGGACGACCGTTCTGCTTGAGTTCCCACAAGAATCGGGTTCAGGATGAGGCCGCACGCAGGACCCTGTGCTCAGGCGGCCGCCCTGAAGGACCAGTTTCCGCACAGACCCAGACCCCCTTCCAGCTCCGGGGTCTTCTGCCCACTCCCAGCGGGGCAGAGGCAGAGTGCCTCGCTCCTCATGCCCTCCCTGCCCCCAGGAGCCCACCGCCCGAGCTGGGAGGATGCCCCAGGCCCGTGCACTTCCGGAGTGAGCTCTTGCCGTGGCGGGGCTGTGTTCACCTCTATCCTGTGATGCACTTCACTAATCAAAAGGCCTCATGTTCTCCTAAAAAGTGTTTGGGTGAGTACAGTTCACACAAGCTCTGCAAGAGGGCAGAAGGAGGCCCCTGGAAGAGTCCCCTTCTGCCGCTTATGTGTGTTTTCATAAAAGGAGTTTGGGAAGGACTTTTTTTTTTTAATTCAGTGAGAGAAATGACATTTAAATAGATTTTTAAGCTATTTTTAAGCTAATGTTTAAGTCCATTTTTAGAGCTGAGTTCCAGATTGATTATCAGCCTCTGAAACCAAGCAAGTTGGTCTTTCTGGTGAGAAAATGGGGTTCAGGGACTTGCCTGGCCGCCCAGTGGTTAGGGCCCCGCCGAGGGCGCGGGTTCCGTCCCCGGTCGGGGAACTAAGATCCCACAAGCTTCGTGGTGCAGACCCCCCCCCCAAAAAAACGAAAACGGGGTTCCGAAAGAAGTCAAGGCCTGAGTCACGGAGGCTGTGCCAGCCAGCCGAGGCGCAACCAGGGCTTTGTAAGCCAGTGTGGTGGGTGCGCTCGGTGTGCGAGGTTCCCCGGCAGCCCCGCCCTCTGCCCCCGCACCGCCGGCTCAGCACACCCCGCATGCGCGCGGCCGGCGAGTCAGGGCAGCTCGGGGGATGCTCCACCCGCAGCAGTTTTCAGCCACAGCTTGTCGGCTAATTCACAGCATCTGTCTTGTTCCTCACTGCACTCTCGGACTCCCTGTTCAATTCTCGGAAAAGGCTCTAAGCGTGGCTGTCGCCGTGACGTAACAAACCAAAAAACACTTAGGTCTGCCGTTTACGGTCCCCGTCAAAGCCAGCACTTTGCCGGGTGATGGCGGCCAGCGATCGCGGGCCTCGCTTGCCGGACCCCGGCCTGAACGCCGGGTGCGCGGTGCTTCTTGCGCCCTCCTGCACTTGGGGCGCGACGCGCACCCCCCGGGAGCGGAGCCATGGCCCTGATCTGCTCAGGACGGTGGCAGCCGTGCCTTTTCTTGAGGCATAATTATTAACACATCCCTTCCCCGCCTGCAGGAGGGTCCTGGTTTGGGTGACAAATGACCTTCTTCCTCTGCCTATTTGATACCCAGGAGTGGTGACCCGTGGCCGTGCAGGGGTGACGGGGCCCCTCTGAGCGACAGGAGAGCCGTGTGGGTCCCACTGTCGCCACAGCTCTGCCGCAGGTCAGGGAGCGTTCGTGACGCGTCCACACTGCAGACAGGTGACAGGGCCTCTGCTTGCCCGGGGCGAGACGTGGACGTGTGTCTTGGCTTCATGACTGTTGCAGGGCCTTCCCCAAAGGCTCCCGTCTGAGCTGGCGTTACCTGAAGGGAATCGCAGGGGGCCTGTTGGACGCCCTTCCAGCTATCTGGATGGAGCTGCAGGAGATGGGTCTGTGCCGTGTGCAGCTGGCATGACTTTGACCGGGCAGGACAGAGGCCCCGGAGAACCTCCCCGGGCCGTGGCAAGATGGGACCAGGCAGACCCTGCCTGGAGGACAGCGGCAGGAGGAGCCCCGGGGCTCCTGGCACCGCGGTCAGGACGCGCTGGGCGCGTGGAGACGCCGCCCCACCCCCGGGGCGTTCCGTGGTGAAGCCAGCACAGCGCGACCTCAGGGGGTGCCCGTGGACGAGAGGCCCTGCTGGTCCGTGTGGACGGCAGGGCCGGGCCATGTTCCCATGGAGCCCAGCGTGACGTCCGATGACGGTGTTACGTGCAAATGTCTTTTTAAAAAAGAAAATGACCGTTAACTGCTCTCACGTATCAGTATTCTTAGTCATTCCACATTTTTGTATGTGGCATAACTATAATTTTAAAAATATGCCTTCTGTATTTTTATCTGAAGTGTTTTTTTAAGAAATAGATTATATATTAACATGGATCAATAATCTAAGTGGTGCAAAAGGTCTGCACCGAGTGGTCTCCCCCTTCTCATCCCTGTCTGCCCTGTTTCTTCTTGCCCCTGTAGGCAGCCTCTTTTATTAGATTCTCCTTTATCTCTGTTTCTTTAGGGAAATATGAATACATATTTTTATACTCCCACAACACCCAGTATCGCGAAAGGTAGAATGCTATATATATGCCATTCTGCATCTTGGCTTTTAAAATTTTCCCAAATCCTGGGGACTGCGCCCTGCCAGTCCCTAGAGGCCATCGT